TCAAATTAAAATTAGTGTGTCAGATTGGTCGAGACGCTACATCACTTTATTCACTTTTAACTTTTATGAATTTTGAAGCCTAAATAAAAGCGCCAGAACTTAAAATCTAAACTTAGGCTATAAACGAACTACAGTACCACGGTCACTCGCCTTCAACGTCACCATCACCATGCTTTTTCAACTTTTTCAAACTTATTTTTAACGTTCAGTGAAAAGGATTTACTCTGTGGATGAATTTTAATCCACGCTACATGAAACTTATCATATAAACTGGAATAAATACAAAACTAGAGCCAAACTAAAACTGAAATGAGACATTAGGAATAAATAGTATAGTGAATAAATGAAATAATCATAACTAAAGGACATATGAAAGCACGTATTTCTGTACATTTCGAAATAAGGTGCATTAAAAGTCAATAAATCCTTGATTAATATGACTATTTTAATTAAAAAAGTGTCTCCACGTACTATTCAATAAAATTCTAGTGCATTTAATCTATTAAATAACAGCTGAGTAAGCGAGTTTTTGGATATGGTAAGATTACATTTATTTTAGTGAATAAAGTACCACATTTCAGCTATCATTTTGTTATGGTGAGTACACAAAATGTTATTTTATCCTTGCTTCTAGAAAATCCTTAATCTATAACCGCTTCATGTGGCTGTAAACATTTAATTTTAATGTAGCATTAAGCACTATGCATCGTTAAAGTTTCACTTTCACCGTGACTAAGCCGGTAAATGTGGTGTTTACATGGAATAATCATGAGTTTACCTTATGGTACGAACCCAGAGTCTCTTTACAGAGTTTCTCTGTGAAAGCGTTAAAACGAGCAGAAATATAAAATGCGGTAAACTGTTAACTGGTTATTCTAAAATTAATTGTACTATAAATGATACAATTGGAAAATACTGTAAATTGATAAACTGTTCGGCGTGATGACGTTTAATGTCTCCGACAGCGCCTGCAGTCCCATTTAGCAACTTGTTAGCAACTGTCTTTTTTAAGAAACATAACAGATTTAAAAAATCATGAGAGGGGTGTAACTGGTGTGTGTTATGTCATAAAATAAAATGTGAAAGTATCTTGAGCTTGTGTGAACCACGGACCTTATTTTAGGGGATCTAACCAAACTCCCATTCAAAAAACCCATTGACTCTGGGACGATGGAACTGGAAGTGCTAAAATGCTAACTCACTTCCGGGTTTTTGCCTACAAAGTGACATCATAGTTCCACCACTCTATGAACCAGCACAGCATCTTCTTCTGACTAGATCACAAACCAAATTTGTTCATTACCGCCATCTGTTGAGATACCACGCATCTCGCGGCTTTACCGTCTGTCCACTCACCAACAAGAGATCGTCTGATGATTTTGCAAAGGATGTACAGAAGTGGATATTCACATTAATCAACTGTAATTTATGCAAAACAAAGATTAAAATGCGATCTACGTCGAAGACTTAAAGCATATACAGGAGGTGAATAATAGCCTTTTTAAACTGATTAATTTTCCTGCTTTATTGCACTCTATCAAAGGCTTATTTTACAATGATGAACCGTCATAATACAGTCTGTTCCCCCACAGTTTTGTAGTGAACACTAATCCAACAGAAAATAAAATTGCGATATAGTGTGCTTATCATTTGGCAAAGGATGGTTGTGGCGGGTTTCCACGCAAAGTGCAGTGTTTACGCGCGCGGCTGATGATTGACATCTCAGAGCGGCTCCATTCACAGTCAGTAAATATGAGTTTGACCTGCTTATTTTACGACTCTTCCGCATCTAGTTTAAGTTGCATTCATTTTGTTCTTGCATTGATGTTACATTTGTAGCAATTTTGCACTTTGACAGTCAGTTTGAGATAATGTAGGCTAACTACTATATAACTATATTTTATTATTGTGTGTATCTGATAGTTTTCAAAATCAAATGATTGTGACACTTTTCGTAATTGAAATGACTTAGAAAAAGTGTCCCAATCAACCAGAACTCACCCTACTCTTTGAAATCATGACTGCATTACAATATGTTGTTTTAAACCCCAAATATCTTACTTATAACTTCATTATATTTTACTTATAACTTTATTAGAATTCTTCATTAACAATTATTGAGTTATTTGTAATGTTAAATGTAAAAATAAAATAATAATAATAACTGAAAGTAGTTTCAATGTAGAGATACTTTTTGATAGTAACTTGTAGTGTAGCTACTTTTTCAGAAGGGTAGCTTGAATGTCGCTTAACTACTTTAATTTACGAGTAGCTTGTAGCTGGTCAAGCTACAGTTTCAGAGTAGCTTCCCCAACACTGAGTGTTATCAAAATAAAGAAAGGTTAAAAATGGAATAAATAGTGCATGCACAATGAAATGCCCAATACTGACTGATACTGATCAATTAAAACATCTGTAATCTTGGCTAATAACAGATAGGGTACTTGACATATTTTGCATCCCTGTAAATGATATGTCTTTAATATCTCACTTTATTTATCTAGACTGCAATGAGATTTAATTGGAGAACTTTTTGCTTGTCTGAATTTTCTAGTAGTTTCACATCTTTAAAGTTGTTGATGAAATCTCAAGAATGTCACAAACTCTGCTCAGATATGCCAAGATATCAAAGTCTGAATATTTAATATCTCAATATAAAAATGTCTCATCAAAATTCATGGTGGAAAGAGTCTACTAAAAGTTATTCTATCCACATTAATTTCATAGCTCTGTAGTATAACTCTGAATGTCGATAATTGTCTCAATTGAGTTTATTTTTATCTTTTGAACCCTCTTGAGACAAAGTTGATAATGAAACATCACTGAGAGCTCATTTTAGTCTTCTGAGCTATCAAAGAGCAACTTCTGAGCAAATTCCTGTTGGTTTTCCTATCACACTACTGTGATCTTCAGGGAGCACAGAACAGCTGTCACAGTCACACCATCCAGACACTGTACTTTAGTGCTCATTTATATTATTTGCACATTTATATAAATGATGACTCTGTTCAACTGGCTGTCTCACATTTTCCACACACTCAGGATAACCCTGAGGTCAGTCCAAGTCTGAGCTCCAGCAAGCGTCTTAGCAGGAGCAACATTGACTTATCTGCCCCCAGTGAGACCCGCAACAGGAAAACTCCACTCAGCCGCAAACAGAGCGACTCGTATGATGGAGAGTCCTCTGGCAGCCAGCACCACCCATTCCTCAGCAGGTACTGCATGCTTGAAAGAACACACACCAGAATTTTAACCTGCTTCTAGAAGTGTTTCTATTACAATATTTTCTCCATGCAGAAACAATCTCTGAAGAGTGTCAACATTGCTCTTGTTTTTTTTAGTAGACTGACATATCATCGGTGTGTTCATTTTTTTGAACAATGGCAGGGAAAATTTGCATTAGTTTCGTAATTAGTTTTAGTAAATTGACATATTTAATTGTTTTTGGTGCAAATAAGCATTCTTAGTGATTTTTTAGGATTATCTATGCTTCTATTTAATATGCTTCTTTTTTGTAATAAGAAATCAGAACAAGATAACCCAGATGTGTCCCTCTGGACAAGCCATCCATAAATGTGTCACATTTTTTCTTCAATCCTGTTTATCAATATTTGCTGCTTCATGGCATGTTGCGTCTGCCTGCAGGGCTATTAATAGTCACAGCTGCAGTCAGTGTGCGAATACTGTATGAGAGATTGAAGCAGAAGTTGCTCAATGCCACAGCAGCAAAGGACCAAATATCCGACTGTTTATCTTCTAAATGATCCTATTTAGGGTATTGATGTGGCAAGAGAGATTTCTCTGCACTATTGTTGTAAGTCTCCAGCAAAGCTCTTTTATTAAAAGAGTTCCTGAATATTGCTGTGTACAACAATAGCATTCCATGTTTTTACCCTCAGTTACAGCTAACAATTTATGTAATTGTGCATAAAATGATATGTCAAATAAAGTAGTATTCTTATGCAGCTTCAGATTAGGGCTAAGCTTTGTCATGTCAAGGGGTAATTGAGTCACTGGGGAATACATAAACTGTTTTAAATAAAATGTGAGCACAAATGAAATGTTTTTTCAAACCTGCAGTAGAACTCGTTCAGATCGTCTGCCAGGTGTTGATTCTCCACAGTGCTGGGGGATGGTGTCTTGTAATTGGTGATTTCTTTTAGACTTTTCCACACTGATGCCGAGTCGCTGGAAGTGAACTGAGTCCTTATTTTTTCAGAATAATTCCTCTTTGCCACTCTGATCTCCTTTTCCAGTGTGTATTTGGCCTGTTTATACAAGACATTATCCCCCTTCCTGTGAGCATCTTCTTTGGCCTGACGGAGCTGTCTGAGTTTTGCAGTGAACCATGGTTTGTCATTGTTGTAAGTTAAATGAGTCCTGGTAGGAATGCACATGTCTCCACAGAAACTGATATAAGATGTTACAGTCACATCTCATTGATGTAAAAGCATGTCCCGCCGCCGCGTGATTTCCCCGTTGATTCTGCGTCGCGGTCCGCTCTGAACAGCTGAAAGCCCGGCAGACTCAACGCGCTGTCCGGAATGGCGTCTTTCAGCCAGGTTTCCGTGAAACACAGAACAGCAGAGTTTGAAAAATCCTTATTTGTCCGGGAGAGCAGAAGAAGTTCGTCCGTTTTGTTGGGTAGAGAGCGGAGATTTGCCAGATGGATGCTTGGCAACGGCGTTCTGAATCCGCGCTGTCTGAGCTTCACGAGCGCTCCAGCTCGCTTCCCCCGTCTGCGCGTCCTGAAGCGCTTGATCAGCGCAGCAGCTCCCCCGACAACAATGTCCAGCAAAACATCAGAATAATCAAAACCCGGTGAAATATTGGGTGGTGTGTACTTCCTAATGTCCAGCAATTCGTCTCTGGTGAAACTGACTGCAGGGATATAACTAAAAACAGGACAAACTAACAAAAACATAAAAACAACTGCGGAGCACGCCACGGAGGCAGCCATCAGCGTTGGCGCCATCTTCAACCATATATAATATATAATATTATAATCTGAATATTTGAAAGTACTGAAGTATGCTTGAAAAATCTTTATTTATATGCTTAATTTGATTTATTTATCATTTTGAATATAAATGTATTGAGTGAAACAATTTTTACATGTTAATTTCACAAAAATGCTTCATTTAGTAATTCAGCCTTATATTTTGTCAAAATGCATGTTTTATATATTGGTAATTCATCAACAAGCATCAACAAGCCCCTCTTTTTTGTATGTTTAAATGTGTGTAAATACATTTGCTGTTACATAAAACTTATTTTATGTGCAATATAGAAAATACATATTCATATGCAAAATGTTTTTTTTTTGCATATAAGTAGGGGTTTTTTTCTATAAAAATGCTGGCTTAAGGGCACAATGATGCTGGTTTCCTATTGATGATTGATCTAGCAACCTTTTCATTACCAGCCCTTACAATGCAAGTTATCTTGTCATAGGTTTTTATATCTTGCACCTATGTGCAGTCTCTAAAGGGCCACTGAGAGGAGTACTGGACAAAAGCACTTTTTCTCACCCAGGACTGATAGCGCTGGACCTAAGGGAGACTTATCATTTAGTTCATCCATACCCCTCAGCTCTACTACATTTCACTCCCAATCATCTGTCCCCGGGGTCCTGTACACCCCATCCTTTTCACACTCAGTCTGAGGTGAGATAGCCAGTCTTTAAGAGCTTTTCTGTCATCGCTCCTAGCATGATGGTAATAAAGACAAACAATGTGCGATAACAGGGTGGAAATTTGAAACACAGTGAGAAGAGTTGTTGACAGTCCAACAGAAAGATTCTTGCTGTAATCCGTTGGGGTTGAATATGATTTTATATCAGGGTATGCACATTTTTTGATATCCGTGAGGACAACTGTCTGGGTATTCTGGAAGGAATAGCTCACCAAAAATGAAAATTTGCTGAAAATGTACTCACCCTCAGGCCATCCAGGATGAGTTTCTGTAGAAAGCAATATTATGAATAGAGGACTTGTATTTTATCCGGAAGCAATAGTTTAAATGTAAAAAATGCACATCTTGATGGGTTTGTTTCTTACAAACATGCTGCTTTTTGCTTCACAAGACAGAAATTGATGAACTGTATTTGTGTGGATTACTTGTGGATTACTGTGATGTTTTTATCAGCTGTTTGGACTCTCATTCTGACGGCACCCATTCACTGCAGAGGATCCATTGGTGAATGGCCTGATGGAAATTTACAGAAAATATTTGTGTGGACTGTTGCTTTAAATAACTCCCAAAATGCCAAAGGCAACAACTACGTGGCATACTGTAACTTTATAAGTAAATGTCATCTTTTGTGTGTGTGTATTCAGTCTGATACAGGATGGAACAGACCTGAGACCGAGCAGCAGCACCAGTTTAGTGTTGAATCCAGGTCGCTTTGACTTTGAGGTGTCGGATTGTTTTCTGCTGGGTTGTCCTCTTGGATTGGTGCTTGCAATGAGACGCACTGTGCTTCCAGCTGTCCAGGGTTGGTGTGGAAATTCTCCAATTAATGTTCAGGACACATTGTCCTCTGAATACATTCCTGCTATGATTTCTTCCTCCTCAATCACATTTACAATTTGGTCATCTTTATCTTTTCTATTTATCTTGCAGTGTCTCAGCTCCGGCCTGCATGTTCACAGATCTTCAACCTGTTTTACCCCTCTGACCCGTCGGCCTCTAGACTTGAGCCGTTGCTGCACTCCCAATTCCACAAACTGCCTCCGTTCCCTGTGCCCCGCTACCAGCGTTATCCTCTGGGAGACGGTCGTTCCAACCTTGTCGGTGAGTGAGATATCCCGTCGAGAAACAATTATACTGTACTCTGCTAAACCACATGCACAAATACAGTGCAATATTCACTCATTTGTTCCTTTTATTATGTTTCATAATTGCTTTGTCACAGTAATGCTCTTATCTTGGGTTGCCAAATGGTCTCTGTGTGCTATTTCGAAGGAATTATTCTGGTTTGGCTGTTAACAAAGTATTCTGGGGAAGAAACTACACTGGATTTTTCTATGACTTCCTCCTTTCGCAGACAGATAACTGCTAACCTGAGCAATACTGTGCCCCCTCTCGTCCCCCTTACATTCTTTTACTCAGTGTCAGATTCCCTGGAGTTTTACCAAGTTCTGCAGGCTGGTGTCTCGCTCTGTAATGAGGTCCTGATTTATTTAGAGCATATTTTATCCTGCTTTGCAGACATATTTAACTTACATGTCATCCATTTTAGGCTTGTTCTATATTCTAGGCTAGGCTTAGAACTAGGACAAATATTATTGAGCTAATGATGTATCCTTTAGAAACATTTCAATGACAGAAATAACGAATCTGGCTAAACTAGTGTTTTAGAATTTTTCATATATTATAGTTTAATATTTTGAATTAGCTTTTAATTTGAGATATTCATTTTAGTTCTAGTATAAGATTTAGTCATTTGATGTGATTGTCATTTTTATTACATTAGTTTATCTTTCTAGATGCTTAAATTGATTTTTCAGTTTTAATTTTAGTAATTTTAGTATTTTAAAGCTATTTCAGTCAGTGCTTGTATTCAAGTTTGCATCTAACACACACACACACACACACATAAACAACACACATATTAAATATTTTACAATGTCATTTCAACTGACTTTTCAGAAGATTGAAAGATGAAAATTTATTCAAAAACAAACTGAAATGAATCATAAACAAATTTGAAAATGCTTAAGGATAATAAAGCACTCTAAATATGATGTGTAAATTAGCTGTTTTTAAGATCATTTGACAGGAAAGCAAATGCATACAGTATTAACTGTGAAACCTTCCTGAAAAAGGAAGGGATTACAACCCTCATCAACACAATGCAACAGAGACAGGCATCAGCCATTGAGAGGAAACAGTCTGTGTCTCACAGGAAATGTGACACTGACTTTTAATTATATCAAGTCTCACTCTGTTGATCATAGGCGAAATGTCACAATATTTGTTAGATACCGAGGCGTGGATGTGTCTAATTTAATGCGTGTGCACACACACACACCGCACACACATGCTCTGTTTTAATGCAGTACTTAATAATTGCCATCCTAATGGAGTATCTCTGGAGCAGCCTCCCATGTGTAGGGTTCTTTCATTATGAATCATTACAGATTTACTCAGCGGGCCTTTAATGTGAGAAATGTATCTGATATCCATCTGTTTTCGTGTTTATGCTGTTCCTGTGTATTTGGATTGATTCATTTCATTTGGCGGCTGATTGAAAATCCTGAGCCATTCATTTCAAGTAGCTGGAAACTGGGGACCGCGATCCCAAAGCCATATGTGAAGCGACATCATGGAGTTCCTTTTCTCATTACGCTGAAGAACAGCCTGATTCTTTCCACTGAACTCTGTATTCCTCTCATCTCCTCATTGCCTTCAGCCCCTCATGCCCAGAGCTCATATACCACCTCGCCCTCATCTCAAAGGTCCCTCGTGTTATTCTACAGCGTAGTAGTAAATGCTGTGCCTTAGTCTTCAATCTTCTCAGAGTTGCCCAGTCGTTTTATAAGTCATGCTAAGCCAGTATTTTGAGCAAGACCTTTTGCTCAATTGATCTTGCTTTTTGTGTTTTTGTGCGGTTTCCTTCTTTTTTTTGTCCTAAAAGTTGAATGCTGTGCCTTGCCGCTACGTCCCTTACCTCTAGTCATGGCTCCAGACTAAAACTTGCTCCTAAAGTGTTTCAAATATTGCACATGCACTCAATATGTAAGGTTGATTGAAAGCACTGTCTTGCTCTGACTGTTCTGTGTACAGCACATGGGAATTGAATATGCTCTTTAGTTAATTAAGTGTATAGCTACTTATTTTGCCACTGATTAATCGGCAATCACTAACATCTTTTGTGATTAAAAAAGTATGTAAAAAAGATGTTAAAGCATGTCTACGTACCATTTAAAATAAAGTATTAAAAAAAAAAAACCTTTTTTTATGTTTACCTTGATTTTGAGCCAGTTCCAGCCACCTCCTTCCGATATTAATTAGCTTTGTTACATTGGAGTCGAAACCCGGGACCAAGGAGGTGGGAACTGGCTCAAAATAAAAATACACATTAATTCACAAAATAACCACAACAAACAAAACAAGTATACATTATAATATATATTTTTTATTTTAGAATTATATAATAAAATAAAACAATAAAAGAATACAATTGTGCATCTTAATATGACAGATTTAAGGACATGTAAACAAACTTGACTGGAAACTACAATTCTGTAACGAGTCATCTGTAACTGGAATGTTTTTTGCTATTTAGACTTCTCGGGTCCCGCTGTGTTTGTTGATTTAAGTCATATGTAACAGAAAGCAGTTACACTACTGTTAAGAAGTTTGTGGTTTATTATTATTATTATTTATTTTTTGATAAAATCTCTTAAGCTCAAGGCTGCATTTATTAAATTAAAAATAATTACATCTCAAAGTAACGGTTTTCTAATTTAATGTATTTTAAAGTGTACATTTTTTCTGTGATGGTAAAGCTACATTTTCAGCAGCCATTGCTCCAGTCTTCAGTGTCATATGATTCTTCAAAAATCATTATAATATGCCGATGTTCAAAAAACATTTCTTCTTATTATTATTATCAATAAAAAATAATTTAAAAACAGTTGTACTGCTTAATGTTTTTGTTGAAACTCTGATGCATTTTTAATACTTTTTTATTATTATTTCAAGATTCTTGGATGGATAGAATTTTCTAAAAAGCAGCATTTTTTTGTAACAGTGTAAAAGTCTTTACTGTAACTTCATTAATTGAATGCATCCTTGCTAAACAAAAATATTAACTTTTTTTCTCAAAATTCTTACTGACCCCAAAAATGAAGGCACACATGCACTCTAAAGATCTGACCACACTACATTGATGGTAATTAATTGTATTTATATTTTTGAATAACTTTTAATTTGTTGCATAATGGTCACATTCTGGAGCACTGTCACATGCTCCAATTTGTCCTTCCTGCCCCAATTTCCCTGTTTTCATTTACTGTATCTCCTATCGCTATCACTTTCTCTCTGTTGCTCATGTATCACTTCTCAAGTATAATTGAATGGATGACTCATGAACTTAGGAAGTGGCTATTTAATTGTATGTTTTCAGTTATCTTCCTTGATGTATTATCATTGCATCTGTGCTTTCTAGCTGTACACAAGTCAAGTGTTTGTTCATTTGTCAAACTAATCTCTCACGCAAATGTTTTCGTCAGTGTCGTGATCACACCAGAATATGTTTGCTACCATTTATATGTATGCTTCGTCTTGGTAAGAATGAGTGGGATTGTTGTAAAAAGCCCATCACTCACGTAAATAGATGGCTTTGGTAACACTAATGAACTCTGTATCGAAAGTGTGATCAGTCTCCCTGCCTGTTCCTCATGTCTGTATAAAGAGCAGTCGTGTTTCCGGTGTTCATCTGGGTTTAGCGTAATGGTGCTGTCTGATTCCAGTCCACGCTTTCTGAATAGAGAGCTCCTGTGAATTTGTATTCTGCAGCTGGCTCCAGGGCCTTTAGTGACATGAGAAATTAAGCAGCATCCTGCGCCCGGCAAAAACTCCTTGGAAAAGGTCAAGGTGAGAGACTGTGGGGGTTAACTCTGCAAAACTGTACCCAGATAGGAGAGTTTGGCTCTCTGGAGCATTTTGCAGTTTGTGGCTACAGTTGTAGCGGGCATAAGCAGATTCTGAACAGACCTTAGCCAAGCTCTCAAAGATGTCAGCATGACTGGAAAGCAATAAAATCGCAGAGGCTTGTTCTGATGACCAGCACTGATAGGGCTGCCCTTGCTTAGAATTCACACCTAGCCTCAGTATGGTGCTCTATGTCTACCAGCCCTCCACCCGGCTCGTCTCCAAGCCCTCCATTTCCCCTTTTCCAGACCCCTATTACCAGGGTCATACAAATCATTATAACTCACCTCATCCCCTGTTTGGGAGGGTGGGAAAATGTGTCAGTTCATGAATGGCAAACTGGGCATAATTATAATTATGATTGAGAATGGTTTCACATATTCAAATATTCTGAATATTAATTCTTTAATTGGCATGAACTTTATATATTCATTTATATGTTCATTTCTATTTTATATTTATTTATTTTTTATTACTATTTTATCCATCAATCCATCCATCCATCCATCATGTATGTATGTATATATATATATATATATATATACTGTATATATATATATATATTAGTATATTAGGACCGATAGGGTTTTTTTGGGGCCGATACCGATATTAGGGAGTAAAAAAAGGCCGATATCGATATATCGGCCGATATTATTTGTGTATATTATAGTACAGTACCAGTCAAAAGTTTGGACACTTTCCCATTCGTGTGTCCAAACATTTGACTGGTACTATATATAGAATACGGTATATACATAAACAGAATATATACTGGTATACATTAACAAATTTTTTGCAATGATCACTCAAATGTGGTGATCAAACACTTATAATGACGTGACAAAGACATGTAATGGAGGCAGGGCATATAACAATTTAACAATACACTTTATTATCCAAAATGAGTCTGACATCAGTGCACTGAACAGTAAAGTTGAAGTTTATTCAACTTTAATTCAATTCCATTCAACTTTATTCCGTTGAAGTTTATTTCACTTTGGAACATTCATTCACGGATTTGCGCTGCTGTCTTCACACACAAACTTACTAGAGAAGTGTGAAGTGTGACATAATATACATCTGTAAATAAATATAAAGGCACTCTCGCGCACTTTAATGCCCTTTGAATGTAACGTGCATATTCCCTTGGAACTGGAATCATGGCGGAATATCATGTGAAGTCCACATCGCAGGGCACTTACGGTCGAATAAGCCAACGCTTGAATGCTGCTGCGCCTGAACAAGAACCCTTTAACCCAATTTTGCTTCTCTGCTTGCGATTAGATCATTTTAATCTGCTAAACTCCGGGAAAGTTTTCAGTCCACTGATCCAGTAAGTGAATGCATTCAAACAATCCTTCCAAAACAGCACTAATATAAAGGAAACCAGGCTGATTACATCAGAGATTGCAGAGAGAACAGAGACTCACGTAGCGTTTTAAGTGAATTATTCATTCCAGTGTGTTTCGCTTTAAAACATGAGCTCGGTCATATTCTGTGGTTGTCTCTGAAGAGCGCGAGCCCCAACACGTCGCGCTGTGAAGTACAGACTGAACGGATTGTCAACACATCCCACCGCTGTATGGCCAGATGAGACGCAAACTACGTTTTCTCGACTGGATAACCAGTCTCGCTAGTAAAGTTTTGCTGGATGAAGACTGCAATCAAGGTAAAGACGATTATGGTGGTGTACAGGAGTCATAGAGTAAGCACGTGTGAGTCCGTTATAATAATGTATGTATGAGTGCTCTTGACGCACTGATCGCACATTGTATTTACGCACAGGCACAGACATTCACATGTACATTCCGTACATTCACATTGTTTCCACACACATTCACGATAATGTCTTGATTTGTCATGTTTATGTTGCTGTGTTTAGTTATACCTAAAATAAATGTTTTTCTCTAATACACATTGGCCACAATTAACGGCACCCTTTTATTCAATACTTTTTGAAACCTCCATTTGCCAGTTTAACAGCTCTAAATGTTCTCCTATAATACCTGATGAGGTTAGAGACAATTCCTTCATCCAGAATCTCTCCAGACCCTTCAGATTCCCAGCTCCATGATGGTGCTTCTCCTCTTCAGTTCACCACACTCATTTTCTATAGGGTTCAGGTCAGGGAACTGGAATGGCCATAGCAGAAGCTTGGTTTTGTGCTCAGTGACCCATTTTTGTGTTGTTTTTTAGGTTTGTGTTTGGATTACTGTACCGTTGGAAGATCCAAACACGGCCCATTATAAGTCAGTCACTTTTTGATTTTTATTCTGTTGGTATTTGATAGAATCCATGATGCCATGTGTCTAAACAAGATGTCCTGGACCTCCAGCAGAAATTTAGGCCCACAACATCAAAATTACAGCAGTATATTTCATTGTACACATGGGGTACTTTTTATCCCTGTGTGCACCAAACCCATCTTGAGGGCTTGCTGCTAAAAAGCTAATTTTTTTAGTTTCATCTGACCATAGAAGCCAGTCCCATTTGAAGTTCCAGTCGTGTCTGATAACTGAATATGCTGGAGTTTGTTTTTGAATGTGCTAGGAGAATTTTTCTTGAAACCCTCCCAAACAACATGTAGTGTAGGTACTGTTTGACAATTTTTTTTTAAGGTTTTCTGACCCCGAGACTCAACTATTTTCTGCAATTCTCCAGCTGTGGTCCTTGGAGAGTCTTTAGCCACTCAAACTCTCCTCCTCACCATGCATTAGGACGATATAGACACACGTCCTCTTCCAGGCAGTTTCGTAACATTTTATGTTGATTGGAAATTCTTCATTATTGCCCTGATGGTGGAAATGGGAATTTTCACTGCTCCAGCTCTTTTCTTAAAGCCACTTCACTAATTTGTGAAGCTCAATTATCTTTTGCTGCACATCAGAAATATATTATTTGGTTTTTCTCATTGAAAAAAATGGTTTGTAGGGAAAACAGTTTTACAGTTTACTGCAAATGCAAAGTTGTTCTTCTCGTTATTCCTCTACTGTGGCTAATGAACCAGAAGTCTTGCACATCATAGAAAATGGCTTACTTCAACTTTGAAAAATAAGTTGGATATGAGTGTATCTGTGGCAACTAGGCATTTAAACCATGTCATACTTGTGAAAAGATGCTGATATGATTTAAAATCTGTCCTCACCTCACTTTTCGGATTGTTCCTGCACTCTTGTCTGTTACAGACATCCAACCATCCCCATCCCCCACATTTCAGTGACTGTCATCATAATTGAAACCCTGGCCATTTGCGAGCCCATGGCAGTGGCAAATGAGAGAAGCTAGTTGCTGGAATGACGGAGGGGAGGTGATCTTTACCACCTGTAGTGGTCAGTGGCACACTGCTGCCAATGTGACACACACATATATTCTGGCTCACACATGCATGTGGTTGCGCCCATAATGTGGGCCAGCCTAATGGGATGTTTTCTGCACAGGCTGCTGGGCTAATGAAAATTGATTCAATTTACCCCTGTCGGAAATAACAGGCCATGTGTGCACGAGGCAGTAGGCATATAAAGGGACAGATTAGCCAGGGTGGACACTTAAAGAATTTCTGCCTGCATGTCTTGATCCCTGTCAGGAAGCATTTAGGGCCGTTGCACAAACATAGTTTGACATTGTGGTGAGTTATATTGAGAGTGAAAGGGAGGCTTTTGTTGTTTTGGTTGTGCAGTGGCTGAGGGCTTTATAAATTCAATTTAAACAGGCTCCTCTGGGGTCATGGTGGGGTGTTGTCTAGAATCGTGCCAGTTCTCTTTCTTTCTGTCTTTCTCACACACAAACACGTATTGCATATTCATTTATATTCACAAGCTTTTCATGAAATCAAAGAAAATCCATAAAATGAGGCAGATTATCACATATCAGTTATTTATGACTGTTTTTATATACAGTATATATATATAGTTTATCTAATTAATTTTTTAGATGTTTAACAGAGCTGGTCAAATTTAATTATAATTTAAGTTTTTGAGATGTTGAGAAGTCAATCAAATGAAAAATTGAGTGTAGAGAATTGTTGTATTATTGCATTTCCCAGATGCTTTCCAAATTAATTACTGAACCCAATACTTGAACATAATGTTTTTCTTTCTATAGGGATGTGTTAACCACAAAAATAGGTCAAGAAATATTGGCATTAAACGACTGATTCTATTGACAACCCTAGTTTCATTTAATCATTTCATTTGTTCTATCTAAGGTATTGATTTTTATCGGTACCAGAGGCAGATATTGTACCAAAGCCAAAATTCTGATATTGATCCAACCCTAATCTACATATCCAACTTTCACCACCATGACCTGTTTTTTTTCTGCAGTCGATGAGATCCACAGCTACCCTGACATGTTCCTGCCCGGTAACACAGTTCCGGTGGGCGCTCCGCACTCCTCTCCCCAGACGGAGCACAGCGCAGGTGGGCGGGTGGGCGGCGAGGTCCGCCGGTCCAGTTTGACCAGCATGGACAGCCAGTTATCAGGCTGCTGGGAGAGCAGGCTGAGCAGCACCGTCACCAACAGTGAGTGGGCAGTGGGTGGGCGAGCTCCGGGCACAATATTAAACTCTCTTACTAACTTTATCTAAAGCTCTTTGATCTTTTGTCAGACTCAGTACTGCGCAAACCTCATAATTAGAGATGCATTTTGCTCTCAAGCCAAGCAATGCCGTGTTAGCTGCTCTCTGTGCTGCCAAAAGACCTGCTGCAGTGTATTTAACTCTGTTCAAGTAGATCATATCTCAGCTGCAGAGAAAGGACATAATGGCAGTTATTAGTCCAAAACATGGCGGTTTTATTGGCACTGCTTTATTCTTACAAGATCTGTCTGTCTCTAATGAGATATATATAATGGTACAGTAGAGGCAAGTGTGCCATAATGTTTAGCATTATTCTCTATTATATATTTTTCTCTTTTACACAAGGACATAAAAACGGTCTTAAAAGTGGGGAAACACATTATAAACCCTGGTTTATGAATGTTCATTAGGTGACAGTGTCTTCTCAATTATAACTGAAACTTATGTGGTTGCCAGGTATCTGCTTTTTCACTACTGTGATTCTTTAACCTTTAAAGAAATCTTACTGATTTCAAACAATTGTGAACAATAGTGTATAGTTTATATAAACCATATACCAATAGTTTGTTTTTGTGTATGTGATAGTTTCCAGCAACTGGTGGGGGTCTAAGCGGTTGGATTACGCTCTGTACTGTCCGGACGTCCTGACAGCATTCCCTACAGTGGCTCTGCCTCATCTGTTCCACGCTTCGTACTGGGAATCCACCGATGTGGTGGCCTTCCTTCTGCGACAGGTACATTTAGAGCCATTTATTAAACACTGGAACAAAGCTCAAAATTGTTTTCCATTTTGCTGTGATACAGTGACACCTCAGATATTCACGAGCTGTGTGGAGGACCATCCTGAACTTCAAAGGAGTTTGCTATAGCCATTGTTTATTTGTTTTGTTTTATTGTGCATCTTTCAGGTCAAAAAACGTAATAACTTTCAGACTCCCTGACTATGCTCTACTCATGCCAGAGAAATCAAATTAGTACTACGTGACAAGACTGCAAGACTTGCCTTTTACCACAGAAAGATTTTAGATACCCTGTTCTCACAACCTCTATCTGTCCTCTATCAAAAGAGTCCCTTTCTCTCTGCCCACTGTTCCTAATTCGTCCCCTTGCTTCCTCTCTGTCTTTTGTGCTGGAAATTTCAATTCAGCCAAAGGAATGTACTTTATTCTAATATGCCTTTTTTATTCATATCAGCTGTACCTCTGTCTGAGAGACAAATAAATATGGCACATCCTTCATTTTCAGAGACTTTTGAAGATCAAATCAACGATGTAGTTCTCAATGCAGATGTACACGGGCTTCACTTTAGAGTGTCAAATGCAAATGGCACCTCTTATTAAATTCATTCTTAAGAAGCGGCCTCGGCACAGGTGGGAAGGAAGTAGTCAATTTAGGCAAATCATAGACCAATCTATCTTTCTGAATGCAGTTCCTTCATAATTGTCTTTGCCTGCGTGAAGTAGAGAAATAGAGCTGACTAGAGTTCCAGCTGCAGTGTTTGATTTAGGTGTCACACGCCAGATAGTGTTGTTATCTATGTGCAAAATTTGTGCTTTTGGTTTGATGTTTTATGTATTTGGTCTAATATGTTTGTGTTCTCCTTAGTTTATTGTGCATTCCTCAAGCCCTGCTAAATGGAAAGCTGTCATTACAGATGCCATTATGACATGATCAAGTCATTACATACCACTTATACATTTCAAAATGTCACATGAAAAGGTGGAGTCTTGCCAAAGTGTGTACAATCATTCAGAGATATAAATATGGGTTGTTCAGTATGAAAAAACTAGGATTTCTCAGCATTTTTATGGTTACTTCAAGTGACATGTGACGGTTATTTTACTATTTATAGTATTTATTAATATTTCTAATTACCTTTTGTTTTTATATTCCACTTTTCATTTTAATTATGGTAATATGGTAATAATTTTTTTATTTCTATTCAGCTTTGTTTTAGTAATTTTAGTACTTCAACTTATTTGAAGTTTTGAAGTTTAGTACTTCAAACTTGTTTTAATTTCATCAAAGTTTTCATCTATTTATATTTTATATTATTTCAGCTTTATTTTAATAAATGAAATCACTGTTTCAGTTAACAAATATCAACATTGACACCTTGTTTTTTACGTGCGGTTTCTGTCTCATCACACTGGGTAGCACTGCCCACGCTGAAATCTCATTGATCCAGCCACTTCATCCACATGGCTGTGTATTTAACAATCAAATATGTTCTCATTGGCTGTTACTGTAATATCAATTTGAACTGAAAAATAATCACTTGGGTCTTATGACTCGATGTCACTGGAGTTCGGTTAACGCCTCCACTCCACTGACAGTATGCATACAATAAAACACCTTTGTCGAAGTCAAAGTTTGACATGATTTTGCAAAGATTTAGTTCCTCAAGTGCAGCTATCACAAATCCTCAAACCTTAAAAGGGTCATATGATGTGATTTAAAGTTTTCCTTTCTCTTTGGAGTGTTACAAGCTGTTCGTGAATAGATAAGATCCCTAAAGTCTCAAATCCAAAGAGATATTCTTTATAAAAGTTAAGACTGGTCCACGCCCTCCTAAAACACCTCGTTTAAACACGCCCCCACATGTCTACGTCACGATGTGGGAAGATTTGCATAACGCCGCCCAAATGTTCACGCAAAGAAAGAAGGCGTAACTTTATTGTTGCTGCCACCGCCGCCGCCATGTTGTGAAGATGCTGTGTGTTTCTTTGCGAAAGCGAAAATACTTTGTTTGGCCTTCCAAAAGAGGACACGACTAGAAATCAGTGGTTAAGTTGTATTTACAATACTGCTTCAACGCAACGCGTAAAAAGACGGTATAAGTCATTATAATCTGTAATTATGTCCCCACTGGATGCTACAAATATGCCTCGTTTATAATGAGTTTTATTGGTTTTGTCTCGTCGCGCCGGGACACGGCATCACAGTATGTAAGGGGCGTAACATTTCCGTCACATGCTTGAGGTATTCGGCCAATCACAATGCACTGGATAGCTGGCCAATCAGAGCTCTCCTCGCTTTTCAGAACGATGAGCTTTGTAAAAATCAATGCGTTTCAGAAAGACGGGGCATAGAGGAGAAACAATAATGTGTTTTTTTAACCTTAAAACGCATAAACACATTTCATTACACCAAATACACAAAATAATGTTATTTTTAGCAACATCATATAAACCCTTTAATAGTAACACGAAAGACTAATAAACATGATCCTCTTGATCCAGCTCAAATGTTACAGCAACAAAGATGTTTCATGTACACCTGAATCCACTGAGTGATTTTTTTGTTGTTAAATAATAGAGGTCATAAAGAATGTTTTTGATTGTAGGTGTATTTCTCACAGTAGCGAGTTACATTGCAGCAGGAAACAGATAAAATGACAAATTTTGTATTTCATTTGAAGAGTTAATATCTGCATTCTGATTCAATCAGACCTGTGCAGTAGCAGCATTTAAAGAATGTTGTGTTGGTTATTCTTGGGGGAAATAGCTTTTCTTATTATTTATGCTTGGATGGAAAATTATTACAACTTGACTGTTCATGCCTTAAGAAAAAAGGACAATACTACTGATTCATAGTTGGATTTAACACCATTATCCATTTTGTATCAAGGATAATGTGCAGATACTACCTGTACTTCAAGTCAATTGCAGTCCAACATCTCATCATCTGTCTCAACCAAATAACTTGTTTGTGAACCAAGGGAAGCCTGGAAACCTGCCACCTGTTGGAAGAAATGGCAATTCCCTGTGCTGCTTCTAATTACACAGAAATTACACACTTCTCCTTTAACCTCACTTAGAGGTTGCACAGCCTCGTGATAACAATGATTGGTTACTAATATCTGTGTGATTGATTGACAGGTGATGCACTGTGACTATGTGAAAGCCCAAGAGATGGGCAACTCTGACTCCGCCCCCTTCTCACCTTCAAGTCCGAGGGAGAAGTGGCTACGCAGACGCACACACGTCAAGCTTAGGGTAAGGACAAACATGGCCGAGCTGACAAAACAAAACATACTCTCACATACACTGGAAAACTTTCAAACATCATTAAGTGTTGTGTGTTTTTTTTACCCAGGTAGTTTAACTTGCTCTTCATTATAAGTGTCTGTTGTGATTAATAGTACACCTCTGTGCATGAAATCTGCTGAGTAATGTTATCCATCAGTTAGATGTCAGTGTGATAGAGGTGCAGCAGTGTCAGATATTTATTAGGAGGCAATGTTTGCCTCTTGGAATTGATTTTAAGTGGTTAATATGTGGGCATATTGTTTTTCTGACCATATAAAAACAGCACTGCATGTTATATCGGTACTATATTGGTTATCGACTGAGTATCTATATCAGTCAATGTTGAATACTTAAATTCGTAATTTAATAGAAGTAGCAGTAGATGTTTTCTTCTGTATTGTGACATACATCCGAGTAAAACAGATTGTCGGAAAAAAAGAAAAAATGTAGGCCATGGACTTTGCTCGATTGTAAGAAACGAGTGGATTTAAACTGACTAAATGATTGGAAAAGTCCAGCATATGTCACCAGAGAGAAGTCTCACATTTCACTGGATAATCCAGAATTTTAATATCAATTTAAATTTAAATCCCTAATAATAATAGTAATTCAAATAATTATCTTGTCTCTATGTTGGATTGTAAAGTATACTGTCTGCTGTCTGTAGATTTTGATGTAATAGCTGTTTCGATTAGGGACATTTTTTGGCCCCTATATTTAAATATCCAGGGCATTTTTGTCCCTTTTGAATGGCATTTTTCCCCCCTGAGCCCTGGCTAATTTCTGGCTCTGGTCTACAGAATCAGACAGACACACACACACACACATATCACTCAAGTGAAAATGTGGACTGCAGCAGAGTCCTGACATTGTAGAAGAACTAAAAATATCCCCCCTCTGCCAGGGCTTTGAGTTTCTCAAATTCGGCACAATAGCTCAGTGTGTGTGGGCAGAAATCTGCACCTTAAGAAAATCACGGCCGACCTTGATTTACTGCTTGGAGGCACATCAACACAATTAGCTAACAGTGCTGCTGAACACTACTGCCTATGCAGGTTTACAGGGTATTTTAGCTCTCGCTTTCAAAAGAACCCGCCAGAACAAAGACCAATTCTTCCCAGTCCTTCACTGAGGTTAAGTATAGCTCAGTGAAACACTTCTGTGTTATCACCTCTACCTTTTCTTTTCACAGGGAATGTTTTTTTGATCACTCAGGACCTTGATCTGAAATCGTGGTTATTTCTGCCGCCCGCTGAGCCCTTCTGAATGCGCTGATGGCCTCAAAAGCATTTGATCAGAGCGCTTGCTAGCCTTTCAAGTCAAAGGCGTTTCTATGCAGTCATGTTGTTTTCGAAAGACTCTCCTGATTCCTTTGTGAGACCCTGAATGCTTCTATTTGTGTGTATATGCTGCATCATTCTGGCTCGGTGAGCGAGCTCCAATCTGGATCCATTCCACAAGCATACATGCTTTTCCTACACAGCAACATGCTTCTTTGTCGGATTAGACTTGTGTCTGAAGATCCACTCAGGTGTGTCACCAGCACATATGGTGGTGTGTTACTTGTTGGCTGTTTGTGTGTATCTCATCAGTATGTGTGTTGGTTTGGAAGCCCATCATATGGCAATCATGTATGGGCCCATGCCAAGATGAATTATTGACTGACTTAATCAATATGCAAATGGCTGCAAGCTGGGAAATGTTTAACCGCTTCATTAAATGACAAATCAGTGCAATCAGTCTCATTAGCTTTTGTGGGCTAATGATTTACGGGGGTGTACAGCTCTCTGTGTGGGCTCATGCCATACCAACATGATAGCATAATATTAACAAAGTCAAAGTACTTAGATTCTCATTCAAAAGTGACCATGGCAAGAAGTTATTTTAAAGTGACGTACACACTAACGAGTTAATCATTTTCAGTGATTTCTGATGACATGAGTGCCAGCAACTGTTCAGTTGAGTTTCAACATTTACATGACATTCAAACTTCAGCTGAGATTTTTTTGGGGGCTTGCTAATTCTAACATTGCTTTGATTATTTCTCATGCTTAGATTTTTTTTCTGACTAGTTTTTTACCAGATGGACAATAAAACGGGCAGCAAAAAACAAAATCCCACAGACTTGCACTGTAGAAGGGAAAGAGCCATATTTACATACCAGAATAACATAGAGACTTGAAGATGGGCACTTTTGATTTGTAGTAACTAACTAACAATCATCAAAATAATGGCTTAGTGTGATTATCAAATCACAAAGGCTGCGATTTAATTATATAAATATATGTACTGTGTGTTTAAGAGTGCAGCTCTGTTTTCTTTTATATGCCAGCAGCTCATTATCCAGTGTTTTCTTTGTCTTAGAGTGGCTTTGTTTACAGTAAATGCAACTTCAGGCGAACTCATCTCTACATATGCTTTGAGTTTGGGTCACTTATAATGTGCATTTAGGAATGCAACATGCACCAGCAATCTTCCCAAACTTGTAATGAAACCGGCTGATTAAATTTTTTTTTTTAAAAAGCTCAGTGGTCAAAGATATTAAACAGCCATTAATATTTGTAGTTTTACTGTAAAATTGAAGTATTATTATTATGATGATTATTAAATAAAAAAAATTCTGCCACTATGAAATATTACAATAGAAATGTCTTATTTTTATTTAGTAATAGTAATAATCATAATAACAATACTAATAATATTTATTTAGTCATATATAATCACAACATTTTGGCCAAACTGTGTAGCCTTACAAACAAGCTCCGCGGACAAGTAGGCTATCACAATGTGCTGTCAATCAAAAAATCAATCAAATTAACAAATTAATCGCACATTTTTTTTAAAAATTAATCGCAAATAACGGTGATTAATCCCACCTAACATCAAAGTTTTTCACTAACTAGTACATTTTTGTTTTAAAACGCATAACTTTTGCTAGGGGTACACCTGTCGTTTACACTACTCCAGTGTTCTCGACCCTTTTAAAAATGCTGCAGACCCCCTTTTAGTTTGAAAACTCCGGGGTTGCATTTCAGTGTAAACGGACCGAAACAGAGACTTTTGAAAACAATGGCATGGCTGCCCACATTCGCTCTGCGTATCATTTTCCGCTCATTTGACTATTGCCTGGCACTAAGGCGAATTGGAGTGCACGTCTGAAAAGTTTCCCATTTGATGCCCCCCCCCCCCCCCCTCCCCTCCTCCTC